ATATCACTATAGACTTTCCTTCTCCTCAAAGGTCAGTCTCACTGTAATGTGGTCCCATAACACCTTGTACTTTTTTGCATAGCTCTTTATACTTAAATTACCCTTCTCATCAATCTTTTTCTTCAAGACTGGAAGTTCATGGATCCTGGGGTCATGTCCCCTGTTCATCACTGATTTTCACAGATTCTGTTATGGTTCCTTGGACATAGTTTTAAATAAGCATTTGCTGAATGAATCGATGATTGAGGGAGGAAAAATATATGTGAAAGAGGACAATAAAAGATTGATTTAACCTACTTCAACATTGTGACTGGATCAAGGCTCTGATCTGTGATTTTCACAAGATTAATAGTTTATCTTGTCTCTGTGTTAATGAGACCTTAAATATTTGGAAAGAATAGACCATCTTCAGATTCCCTCACAGGATAGCAGATTTCCTGGCAAGATAAACATGTAAGACAGATTTAGAAATCACACAAAAAAACCCCAATCCCCTTTCATTAGCATTCTGCATACCATAACAGCTCTAAATATCTTTAACATGATAGAGCTCAAGAAGCATGTAACTGATCTTCTACATCTCTGTTTTATTTATTTTGCATTCCTTATCCACTGTTCTGATTTATTAACATTCTTTTTTTCACACAAACACACACACACATGCACACACACCACACCCTTTTTAATTTTTTTTTTATTTCAGCATATTACAGGGCTACAGATATTTAGGGTTGCACATATTGCCTTTGCCCCACTGAGTCAGAGCTTCAAGTTTGTCCATCCCCCAGAGAGTGTGCAAAGCACCCATTAGGTGTAAATATACCCATCCCCTCTTCCCCCGCCCATCTGCCCGACACCCGATGAATGTTACTAATATATGTGCACTTAGGTATTGATCATTTAATACCAATTTGCTGGCAAGTACATGTGGTGCTTATATTTCCATTCTTAGGATACTTCACTTAGTAGAATGGGCTCCAGCTCCATCCAGGATAATATGTGTATGAGTCAGTCCATTATAATCTATTTTTAGACATTCTATTTAAGCAGATTTTTGAACTGGGATACTTGATGTATTTCAGGCCATCTCAGAGACAGTTTTGTTTAAGTATGCATCTCTTGATCAGTCAGTCCTGGCCAAAATGGCAATTATGTAAGATGTTATTCATTTGCATCTCTTTTTCCTTCCCAATGGCATTTTTTTACAATTACCATCTTATTGTTTTTGACTGGAAGGGGAGAAGGAGATGGGTATATACATACATAATGAGAGCAGTGCACACCGTCTGGGGGATGGCCATGCTTGAAGCTCTGACTCGGGGTGGGTCGGGGCAAGGGCAACATATGTAACCTAAACATTTGTATCAGCTTACTTTGTAAGTAATATTCTAATATCCATTTGTAGTGGATCATTTGTATCTTTAAAAAGTCCTTTGACCACATGCCCCACTTGAGGTATACCATTCTATAATACCCAAATGGTCTGTGTGCACTGTTTCTGATTCCTCTCTTCCAACTGTTTAGTGAGTCAATTACAATTTATGTTTTCTCCATAAATTCCACTTTACACACCTCTTACTAAGATCAACAACTATCTACTGGGTGAAAATCCAGTAGTCAATTTTCAGTCTTCATCTTGCTGAACCACTGTGCTGCGTTCGACGCAGTTGGTTCCTCTTTCTTGGCACATTCTCTTTATTTGACTTCTAGGTCCTCTCCCCGACCATACTGGCCAGTCTTTCTCAGTATGCTTGCTGATTTTTTCTTGTCTTTTACTTTAACTCGCAGACCATACTGGCCAGTCTTTCTCAGTATGCTTGCTGATTTTTTCTTGTCTTTTACTTTAAAGGCTGAAGTGCCCTGAGTCTGGCACATGGACCTCTTCTTTCAATCTTTACTCATTGTGTTTTTAATCTCCTTAAAATAATCTCTTTAGAAACAATTTATGTTTGTGGCTCTTAGGTTCATATATCTATGCTTTAAATATCAGCCATAACTAACTACTGAGTTAAGTTCTACATGAGAATATATAATAAACGTCTCATACTTTGTGTGTCAAAAATACAATTTTCATTTAATAGAGATATGCAAATTATTCAACCGGGCTCAGTCTTTCCCAACAGAGTCACCAGAGTTGCTGTTTGCCTGGATACTCAGACAAAAAAGCAAGTGAAGCCCCAAATATCCCTATATCTGATTATCCAATTCTCATCTACTGTCCATCTTTATATGTGTGTGGGTGTGTATACAGTCATATTTTGCTAAATTGTAGGGATGTGTTCTGAGTAATGTGTCCTCCTCCAGTGATTTTGTTGTGCAATCATAGAACATACTTCCACAAGCACAGAAGGTAATAGCCTACTATATGCCTAGGCCATATGGTACAATCTATTGCTCCTAAGCTACAAATTTGCACAGCATGTCACTGTGCTGAACATATAGGCAACTGTAGCATTGTACAACTGTAACATTTTTACCATGTAAAAATGGTAAATATTTGTATGTGTGTGTATATATATGCATAGAGAGAGAGACAGAGAGAGAGGATTTCTTCTATGCCATATACCCATTTCATCAGCCTATCTCTGAATATATTTCACAAATACTGCTAGCGTTTCCATTTCCATCTTTACTGTTACTACAGTAAAGTGCATGGTGTAATGATTAAAAATGTAGACTTTGAATACCTTCATTCAAATCCCATATCTAACAGGTACTAGTCTGGTGCTTTGGGGGACATGACTCAACCACTTGGGGTTAAAATCTGGAACATGAGGAAAACAATAACTTTGCAAAGTCCACTACTTCTTATTGAGATAAACTCCCAGTGGTCTCCTTGTTTCCACACGTGCCCTCCCCATTTGCCATGTCTATTCTCCAATCCACAAGACAGAATATTGTTTTCACACTGTATGACTGCATCAAAGCATTACATGTGCCCTATAAAGACACAAAACTATTATGTACCCATAATAATTAAAAATTTAAAAAAGAAAAAGAAAGCATAGAAAGTTCCTTAATACATAAATCTTGTATTAGTTTTATCAAACTCACCTATCACTGAAATCACATGTAGAATAAAATCCAAGGTGCTGTAGTTTATCAGACTTTACATGGTCTGATCTCTGTCTCGCAGAACATGCTCTGCCCGGCGCCCTTTCTCCCGCCACCAAAGCCACTTCCAGCTCACCTTGACCACGCCACACATCGTCCTGCCTCCAGGATCCAAGTACTTGCTACTCCTCATGGATGAATGTTTTTGACTGTCTTGTTTAATTCAAGACAGTCTTTAAATTCCATTCCCTCAATGAAGCCTCCCCTGACTTCCAGGGATCTCAATCTGCTTTAGTTGGATTCAACAGGACTTTTCACTAATTGGTGTGTATTTTTTTTTGTTTATTTATGTATTTATTTATAGACTGCCATACATACTAAGAGCTAAAACTTGTTTTCTTTTATGTATTGCTAGTGCAATAAAACAAGTGTGTAATAACTGTTTATTAAACAAACTGTACTGCTATATAGCTAAAGGACCCTCAGAGAAGATAGTGGGTGTGTCTGCCACTAAGAGCTTTCTCAGAAAAGAGTGATGACCACTAGAACTAATTGCAGGACATGGCTGCTAGTCAGAGTCAAGGAGCTTTGTACAAAACTTTTCTGTTTGAACACTTTAATGATAAATCATGTAATTTTGTGAAATACATATGTATCTATACATATGTCCGAAAGACAGAGGGAGGGATGCACAGACAATCTCCTGTCATTTTCATCTTTTTCTGTGTGAGCTTTCTCCCAACTAAGGTATCAGGGTAGTATGAATAGTTATCATTTAATTTAAGATTAATCTAAACAGAAGAAGAAACGCTAACTGAGTGGTGAATTTAGAATTCAACAACTAAGCTCAAAAGCCATCAAAATGTGTTGTATTAGATACATATAACTTTAGGATGTTTTGTAATATCTGAATTTAGATGGAGGCATAGGAAAATTGAATAGGACACATTCTATATTTAAGGAGTTGAGTTTTGTTCCCATGGAAACATTTTGACAATGAGTTCTACAAAAGAAAATGACTAAGCATTTCAGACTCTAATGCTGCTCTGTTTAATTCTTTATAAAATGTGCAAGAGGAGTCTTGAACAATTTAAATGATTGAAATTTCAACTGTTTAGTTGAACTGCCTAACTGCATCTCTGCTTGAAATGTAAAGAAAAAAGCACTTTCTGATTCATTACAGTTTCATTTTTAAGCAGTTTGAAAGAATATTAAGGATGGAATGACTATCAATATGAGATGGATTTAAATGTTATTCCATTTCTAACTATTTGTACTTATAAATAATATATTTTATGATTTTATGATTATTTTAAATCATTTTTATTATTTATTTGCCCAATTTGAAAAAGGAGAATATGCAAACTTAATAATGGGTTTGACATCATTTAAAGTCATTTCAGCCCCAAAAATGTTATTAAAATTATTTTTTCAATTTCTGTATTTCCTTTGAAATGAAATTTTCTATTGTACATAAAACAAAAGAGAAAGCATAATTGGTGAACAATATGCACATTTGCTATATCACTTCTTATGTCTTTACTGAAATGTTAGACTCTATAATTTCTAGAAATACTCATTAATTGTTCTAACTGAAGATATAATTTAAAAAACATCCAAATAGAGGTTTATGCTAGAGAACCTTGCTCCTGGGAATCTTGGATGACTATTCTGGGCCCTTTACAGCAGGTGCCATTGGTGATGGTGTCTTTCAACAATAAAAACTTTACAATTTGCTAGTGGAAATAAATCACAGATTACAAAGGACTGTGACAGCTACTTTTACCAGGGCTCCATAGTTGGGAGGTATCTTTGTAGTTTGAGGACGTCTATTTTCCATTATTGATTCTAGTATAGTTCAAATCAGAGAAAAAAAAATCTCAAAATCTTTCTCACAAGTAGTTCCTTAACAGGAGCCAGATTGACAGCAAGAAATGCAAGCAAGCATGACCAGGGGCCTTGGTGGGGACAGCCTGGATGGGTGGCATTCAGCATCTGCATGGTTTCTCAATGGTCCTCAGTTTGCTGAAGGCCCTGCCAGTTGTGTTCAACCTGGTTACTATCCTCAACTTTTGGAAACTCTCAACAAGTTTTGGTAGGACTTTTTTTCCCATAATTCCCTTAACAGAATGAGCTGTAGTACAAGAAGGATTTCAGAAGATCAAGTTATAGTCTGTTTTTAAAACCATAGGTGTGACAACTATAGAGAAATAGACTGTGAAGAGACATTTAGCCTTATTTTTTCTGTTGAATGGAACATGGGGGTATATTAAAAGATAATATTATACATTTACTTGTTTATACACAGATTGCATTTGTGATCATAATAAATGTCTAATATCATTAAAATAAAATATAATAAGTGCTTAGAAGATGAAGGACCAAAGGCCAAATAGCAGTGACATGTGGCCATAATTTCCCTGAGGACTTCTCTGCCAGGGTTTGTGTGTTCTGTTATTTCAAACAAACAAAAAAATGTTCCTGGAACTTATCCAAAGAATTACTTGGCTCTAGAAGATAAAAGTAAACTGTCTTTGCATTTTTAATGCTAAATGAGGATGTTATTACACACATATTTTCATATTGTTTTTTTTTTCTTTTCTGCCTAGCCTAATGATTATATAGGTGAGAAATAAAACTCTGTCCATAATTTCTTCCTAAAGAAATTTTAAAGTTTAAGGAAAAATTTTCCCTGTAGATTTTTTTCTCTTCTTTCACCTTTCTCTTTACATCTACAGATATAAATGCTCACACAAATCACACAGACACACACATAAATATACAGACACATTCACATGCACGCACACCCTCAAAATCATTTCATAAGTAATATTGTTAAACATAAAAATTAGATTTACGCTCTTTTGGGTTGATGCCTAACAATGCTATTGCTGTGTTGAATGGTATTTCTATTTATAGCTGTTTGAGATATCTCCAAATTCTTTTGCACAAAAGCTGCACTAATTTGCAGTCCCACCAGCAGTGTAAGAGTGTTCCTGTCTCCCCACATCCTCGCCAGCATGTGTTGTTTGGGGATTTCTTGAGACAGGCCAATCTCACTGGGGTTAGGTGGTTTTGAGTTGCATTTCTCTAATGATTAGAGATGTTGAGCATTTTTTTATATGTTTGCTGGCCATTATTTTGTCTTCTTTGGAGAAGTTTCTGTTCATTTCCGTTGCCCATTTCTTGATGGGGTTGTTTGATTTTTTCTTGTTAATTCTTTTAAGTTCTAGATAGATTCTTGTTATTAGACCTTTATCAGAAGTGTAGAAGGCAAATATTTTCTCCCATTCTGTAGGTTGTCTATTGGCTCTAATGATCATTTCCTTGGCTGTGCAGAAGCATTTTAATTTGATCAGATCCCATTTGTTTATTTTTCATGCTGCAGTGATTGCCTTGGAGGTCTTCCTCCAGAATTCTTTGCCTAGGCCAATGTCTTATAGGGTTTTCTCAACATCTTATTCTAGGATTCTTAAGGCTTCATGCCTTAGGTTTAAGTCTGTTATCCATCTTGAGTGGATTTTTGTGAGAGGTGAGAGGTAGGGATCCTGATTAATTCTTGTGCATGTAGCTATCTGGTTTTCCCAGCACCATTTATTGAAGAGAGATTCTTTTCCCCATTGTATATTTTTGTCTGCTTTATCAAAGATTAGGTTACCATATGCAGATGATTTCATCTCTGGAATCTCAGTCCTATTCCAAATATTGATGCTTCTGTTCTTGTGCCAGTCACAGGCTGATTTAACTATTATTGCTTTATAGTACAGCTTGAAGTCAGGAAGACTGATGCCTCCTAGTTCATTCTTTTTACTTACAATTGCTTTGGTTATACAAGGTTTTCTCTGGTTCCATACAAATTGAAGAATTATTTTTTCTAGATCTGTAAAGAATGTTGGCGGTACTTTGATGGGGATTGCATTAATTCTGTAGATCATTTTGAGTAATATTGGCATTTTAATGATATTGATTCTACCAATCCATGAATAAGGTAGATTTTCCCATCTGTTTATATCTTCTACAATTTCCTTTTTTAAGCATTTCATAGTTCTCCTTGTATTCATCTTTCATATCTTTCGTTAAATATACTCCTAGATATTTAATTTTGTTTGGGGCTTGCGTTTTTGATTTCAGTTTCGGCTTGATGGTTCTTGGCATATATGAATGCTTCTGATTTGTGTATATTGATTCTATAACCTGAAACTTTACTGAATTCATTTATCAAAAGTAGGAGTCTCTTGGATGAATCCATGGGGTTTTCTAGGTATAATATCATATCATTGACGAAGAGCGAGAGTTTGCTCTCATCTGCCTCCACTTGGATGCCCTCAATAACCCTCTCTTCGCTGATTCCTATAGCTAGGACTTAGAGCACTATGTTGAATAGAAGAGGAGATAGTGGGCACCCTTGTCTAGTTCCAGTTCAAAGAGGGAATGGTTTCATTTTTTTCCCCATTCAGGATGATATTGACAGTGGGTTTGTCATAAATGGATTTGATAAATTTAAGGTATGAGCTGCCTATGCCTATTTTGTTAAGAGTTTTTATCATAAAGGTGTGTTGGACTTTGTCAAATGCTTTTTCTGCATCTATTGACAGAATCATTTTATAAAGACATCTGCACCTGAATGTTTATGGCAGCACAATTCACTATTGCAAAAACATGGAAACAACCCACGTGCCCTTCAATTCATGAGTGGATAATTAAAATTTGGTATATGTTCACAATGGACTATTACTCAATTCCAAGAAACGACAGTGAGCTAGCACCGCTTATACTATCCTGGATTAAGCTTAAGCCCATTATCCAAAGTGAGGTGACACAAGATCAGAAGAATGGGCTCCACATGTACTCTCCATCAAATTGGTACTAACTGATTAAAACGATGGTGCTCAAAGAGTGGTGGTGTTCACCAGGGATTCAGGGGATGGGGTAGACCCACATCTGAGGGATGTGGTGAGCATTGTGGAGGGGAAGGGCATACCTCTAACCCTTCCTAGGGAGAGGCAAAATATAAAATGTAACCAAAATGTCAAAAAAAAAAATAGATATAAAAAAATTTATCAGGTGTCGGCAGATGGGAGGAGGGAGGGGATGGGCGCATACTTACATAGTGAGTGAGATGCCCACCACCTGGAGGATGGACACCCTCTGACTGGGTGGGGGGAAGGGAGGCAAGGGCAATGTATGTAACCTTAACAACATTTGTACCCCCATAATATGATGAAATAAAAAAAATCAGGAAGCCCGGGAAAGCGAGACAAGTTAAAAAAAATTAAATTTACATATTTGTTTCTCTTCTTCCCTGTTTTCAGTCTTACCACTAAAGAAACAACTCTCAATTATGCTGGTCTGTAATTTATACCTTTCCTGTCTTTTCTCTTTTATATATTTCAAATGTTCGTAAGAAAAAAAAATCACGGATTCATTGATTGTATATTAGGTTTGAAGGATACAAATTTTTTCTAAAAAAAGTCCAGGACAAAGCAAGATACTTACCAGATGATAACTTTGTAGTTGAGCCAGATAAGCATGCAAATGTACAGAGGACAGGGTAGCCACTCTTTCAAACTGTCCCATCGTGTGTATCATTTTATAAAGACAAACTTGGCCCTAATCTACCAAACCAAAATTGTTACAGATGGAACTTAAATGCAACTATAAATCTGTTTCTTTTCCCATGTACAGGAGAACAAATGTCCTAATGAGGAATATAAGATATGATTTGATGTTATTTCCTTTTGATGAAATCTCAAAAAAAGATCTAATCTTGAAGATATTCACTTCAATGGATTGTGCTAGAAATGTGATGCTGTGAAGTCTGTGGGCAAATGACCGTTTATAACTCTCCGAAACATGAATTTGAGCATAAAGTTGCCTCAAGCTCAGGGTGGCATGAAGGACTTAGGTTTTTATTTTAATTGCAAAATCACATCCTTAATGGATTATACACAGTTAAAGGCTTATAATAAAAATTAGGTGATCTTTTTAAGCTCAAGAAGTCCATTTCAAGTAAGCAAGGACAAATTAGGGATGGGAACATAATAGATTATTTTCTAATTATTGCTGATTTTGTCCTAGAATTAGTGTTAAACTTTACTAATACTTAAAAAGGAGAATATAATACTTTTTGTAGTAATGTGATCAGCCATTCCAAAAATATTAAATATTCCATTTTCTTATAATAGGTATTTCACAGCACACATTTATAACTCTAGTTTTTATAATATCAGACTCTTAATTGTGACTATGCATCTTAAATCATCACTATTCATTTCTTATAGTCTCTAATTTTGTTATATTTTGTTGAATAACTGTGACATATTTTTATTCTGTAACAATGGGGAGGTAAATATTTATTTCAAAAATTTAGTATACAGTACATGCTAATACTGCGCCAGGGAACAACACCGGTGTGTGCGCGTCAGGCGCCGGCGCGCAGCAGGTGGGGGCTGGGCGAGCAAGCGCAGCCTCGTCGGTGTCTGCAGTCGCTCCCTGGCGCCGCGCCGGCTCCGCCTCCGTCCCAGCAGCGGCGGCCTTAAATTCCCGTAGGAGCTGGAACCCTGGGATTAACTGCGCATGGGAGGGTCCGGGTTGCGCTCCTTACGTGAGGCTAAAGCCTGAAGACCTGAGCGGCCGAGCGGCGAGGCCGGGGCCGCGAACGCGGATCGCGTCAGCAGAGAGGCCTGACTGCACACCGGACGCCGCGCGCTCGAACCGCCCTCGGCCGTCCCGCCCGCCAGCTCTGTGGAAAATTGTCTTCCATGAAGCCAGTCCCCGGTGCCAAAAGGTTGAGAACTGCTGTGCTAACAGAGGTAAGCTGGAGTCAGAAAGCTTTAAATATACACATTAAATGAAATTTAAAGCCATGGCATAATACATGATATGCATTTAATATTGAGAAATATATATTTCTGTGATACTTTTTAAATTATTTATGGTATGCCTTTAAACTTCTTGGTTTCAGACTTATAACTTCAGAATATATGAAATGTGCTTTAATTCATTCCAAAATCATGAAAGAATAGAAAAAGGCAACATATAAATTGCATATTTGAAATTAATTCACAGAAAACCAAGAATATATTTGTTTCTTCTAATATATATCTCTCTTTGTCTAATTTGGGTATTATCTATTAAAACAGCGATTACAACATACTTTCCTTTTATCTTTAAAAGCAACCTCAAATATTTCTAAATATGAAGTACAGTTATTCATAAATTATATAGCTGCCATGCTATAAAGTTATATATGTAAATATTATAAAGTGAATAGAAATAGACTATATTGAAATTTAAGTCAGACTAAGTTACACAAAAGCTTATTATTGAGGAGGATTAGACAATATTACTCCAAAATATGCCACTTTGGCATAAGTATTATTTTGAGATGAAAGCAATTGAGAAGATGCAAACATAAGAAAAGCTCTCTCCTCTTCTTCCGTTTGCCTAAAAGCTGAGCATAAATTTACAAAGGTGTCCGTCCTCCCCTTTCTGCTAGGACAAAGGTTGGTCACCAGAGATGATTTTAAACCCTTATCAGCCTAGACTGTGCCAGAGGAATCTGCATAACACACGTTACAAACTAGCTCTTATCTACCATTATTCTCCCATTTAATAACATTCCTACAATTTGACACCCCTAGAGACACAAGGTCTATTTCGTCTGTCTTGTCCTTCTCTAAAATTGTGTTCTTCTTTGTTGAAAATGCTATGTAAGCCAGAGTTCTAAGCCAGTTCTTTGACAATTACTTATTGCCTAGGTATCGCCCATGTATATATGAAATATACATATTAATAAGCTTCTGTTGGTTTTGCTCTTCTTAATCCATCTTTTGTTACAGGGGTCCCAGCTAAGAACTCAGAATGGCAGGGGTGAATCTATTTTTCCTTCCCTACACTATCCATTTTAAATATAATGAGGTAGACTGGGACATTTTAGCACAGTAATAACAGTTAATATGATTTGGAATTCGATCCCACTGCTTCCTAACTGCAGGCCTGAGCAAATGACTGCTACAGAACTCTCAATTTTAGTTTTCTCATCTGTTAAAGGTGTGATTTATAGTACTTTCTTCATAAGAATGTTTTTAAGAAAAAATGAGATACAACACATAAAAACTAAGCACCTTTTCCTAACATATGGTTAGTTTTTAATTAATGTTAACTAATATGTTATTCTTTTTAAAAAGTTTTAATCCTCTCTGTGTCTTCTTGTTCACCTCTAATTTTCAGCCCTTAGTATAGAGCCTGGCAAATATTAAATATTCAATAATTATTTATGACACATGAAAAGTACCTTGCATTACATAAATCATATTTTGTGCATATGTATCTGCATACATAAATCATATATGTTTCTGAAAAGGGGAATTTCTAAGAGTAGACAGTATTCAATGGGAAGAAAGAAATGTAACCTAATTTCTCATTTCAAAGGTCTTCAAGTAAAATGAATAGTATTTCATATTAAAGTAGGAAAAAGTTTACCAGACTTTGTAGATTATGTTGTGATGTGATTATTTTGGTCATATAGATAGCATTTTGGAGCATTTTTAAAAATTCATTTGTTTATTTTTTAAAATGCTGTATAATATATGTATATATCATGTGCAAATGATGTTTTGAAGTATTATGTATGTTGTGGAATAGTTAAATCTAGCTGGTTAACGATAACGTCACTTCACATAGTTATCATTTTTGTGGTGAGAACACTACACATCCTCTCTCTTAGCATTTTTCAAGAATACTATGCTGTACAATAGATATTTTGAATTTAGTCCTGCTATCTAACTGTAAATATGTATTCTTTAACCAGTTTCTCTCCAACCCCCACTTCCCTAACAGCCCAGCCTGTGGTAACCACCATTCACTCCTGCTTACATGAGAAGAACTTTCTTATATTCCACACACAAGGAAATCATGCAGTATTTGTCTTTCTGGAGTATGCATTTTTTTTTTTTTAAGTCAAGCACCCTCTGTATCTTTTTTGTCTTTATTACATCATTCCACGGTCTATTCAAATAAAATCTATGAGATACTGTGTTTCCCCGAAAATAAGACCTACCCATAAAATAAGCCTCAGCAGGATTTCTAAGCATTTGCACAATAGAAGCCCCACCCTGAAAATAAGCCCTAGTGGTGGGCGTGGCTACGCAGCCCATCTGCACAACCCGTGCTCGAGCAGCCCTTCTCATCTGCCCCATCTGACAGCTACCATCCCAGAGGTGACCGGAAAGGTGCGGGCAGCCCCACCAGCAAGGGCGGCTCCCCCTGTCAGGTCCCCGCCAGCCTGTGCGTGCTGCAAGCTGAGGCTTTGAGGGGAAAATAACACATCCCCTGAAAATGAGCCCTAGGGTGTCTTCTTGAGGAAAAATAAATATAAGACCCTGTCTTATTTTAGGGGAAACACGGTAGGTTCTATCATTATCCTTATTTTACAGGAAAGTGAAATGAATGAAGTTATTCTTCCAAGGTCACTGAGCCATATGTGCCATTCAGAACGATTTACGTCTGAGGGTTGTATAAGTATGTATATGAGTGTTAGTGTGCATGTATACAGCAAATTGCAGTTTGTACATTTGTATCGGAATTTAATTTCTTAACCTTATGAATTTGAAAACCTAGATTGTTTTAAGTTTATAATTTAAACCTGCAAATCATGCAGGTTTTATTTTCCTCGTGATTTAGTTAATGTTCCATTGAATAAGTTTAAATATTATATTCCCTTAAACAATCATTTTCATTTACAAACTTAGCTAATTTAATAGAACACTTTATTCTATGTTTCCATAAATAACATTATATTCTTAAGCACTTTTAGCCCCTTAATATTTACCAAGCAAGTTATTTTAAGCATTTAGAAGGAAATCATGTAAATATAATGAGTGAAAATACCAAGCATAGTAAATTTAGTTCCCTTACATATTGCAATATTATTTGTAGACCATAACAATTTGATTATTCTATACAACCTAACTTTGCACACTTACTAGTTCCAACTGCTTCTTTCAAATTGGAATCATGCCAAATGTTCTGGATTCTCTTATGTTTCATATTCTCTCAAAGTCTAACCTTCAATAATAAACGCAATAAGTATGCTGAAGATAAAACAGTTTCTAGGCTGGAAACAAATATGTTAATATTGTGGCTTTAAAGGGTTTGAAATATTTCATTATCTTATTTCTAAAATGTCTAGGCTATATAATAAAATCACTAACCTACCTTCATGGGGCAGTTTTACCATTCCAATTGTTCTAAGGTTACTAGATTAGAAAAGTAATTGGCAAGATGCAGATACATATCAGTCATGTGTTAGAGATTGACGTTCGGGACCAAGGCACCAGAGACCACTACACTGATTTACCTGAGCAACTGTGAACCTATGGAGTCATTTCTTACAGCCATGCTCTATCCTCTGTCTTCCATATGAACAAAGAATTTCAGACAAACACATGTAATTTGGAATTTACTTTCATAACTTAGTGCCTCATACCTCCCAAAACTAATTTTTAAATTTTAAATTATTTGATTATTTTTGTAACTGTTTCAAATGTTATCATCTAGTTTAGATAGATGAAATTCTGCATAACACTTTAACTCACATACACATAACCATGCAAGCATGCACATACATGACATGCAATTAAGATATTTGTTGTATGATTAGAGTTAACCAACTTCTTCAGTAACTTAACTAGATCTTAATAGTCATAATAATTGTTATTTTATTTGACAATAGTATTTATTATGTATTGTATCATTGGTCTCATTGGCAATACATTTGCATTTATAAAACTATCAATACATATATGCAATACACCCTGGGGCAATATATCAGAATAAAATTCACAGGAGAAAGGAGGTGCCTTTACTTTGTAAAGTGGGAGATATTAGGGAAGGGGATGTGGGAAAGAAGAGCCTATAAACATATATAGGTCAATTCTCAGGCAAATTGATTTACTATTAAATTCAGGCAGGACTTAATTTACTATGTACAATATACATGAACAGAGGACCAAATAGCAGGATTAGTAAAGTAAAAGGGAATGTCAACTGCCTGTTGAAAGAATTATGTTGAAATGATTCAGATAAACACCATATACTTCTGCATAAAATATATCAATTTGGTAATAAATGATCTCTATTTCATAGTCAGCATGTTCTTATATTTTTCAATTGGTCATCTACCATGCCTTCACATAAGTTCAGAGACTGCATTGCATCTGTTTCCTCCATGCAGCTTTTCCAAGTCCAAAATTGGAATGTTTTTTCCTCATGACTTTTCTGCTAATCCTCTCTTAATGACTAGCACTCTGCTTTGATTGTGTCTACTTAGCAAGCTCTGCTGTTATACCATGAACTACTCGAGTAAGGAGTTTGTGACTGGCTACCACATTATCTGTAAGAGGAAATATAACACTGAAATATGATAATCAAAATTACTTATTAAATGAGCAAATTAAATTTAATTATTACATAAATGCATTTAATTACATATTCATTCCATTTAAACACCATCAAACATCTTATACAGGAACCATCAATAATATTAGAAATAAGTATAGGTTGGTGCAATAATTGCAGTTTTGGACCATGAATTTTAAATCACTATAACTAGGCTAAAACATATCTTTATTAATCAAAATAGGAAAAATTATAATCAACACATTTTTGCCAACGAGAAATGAGGCTTTAGAAGCAGAGTATTTAGTGTTTGTTAAGATATTTTGAATTTAAATGTATTATACAAAAGTTGGTGAAGGTATTTTTCCCTCTTCTTTTTCAATAACTATTCTCAAATAACACGTGGTACCTC